GTAGGGGCACTTAACAACACAAAGCGTATCTGGTCCTAAACCAGGGGAAGTAAGGACCAGTTGGAGGCCCAGACTTCACCTGCATATACATTACTTATGTTCCTAATCCTGACTTGTACCCCACATCTTTATAATAAAATAAAGTAAAACAAAAAAAAGCTGCTGCTTATGTGGCTTCAAATAAGACCTTCTGACACGAAGTGCAGTCCTGTTGCAGTCTGCGTTGTAATCATTATCTTCTATCCACTGCAGTTGTTTCTCCATCATACTTAAAACAGAAGATAACTAAGAAGTGAAAAGCTCTGCTCTTGTGAGGCAGTTTGTTGAATTACATCATCTTCTCTCCTCCACACCCACCTGGACTGCAGTACCTCCTCGATGACCTCACTCTCAATTTCTTCAAATCCAACCTCGTTTGCAAGAGCAACACAGCTTGCTTTGATTTTGGGGGTTCTTCTGAAAACTCAAAGAATTTGGAATCATGAATTCCATCATTCCAGACCTCTACCATAATAACAATCGCAAGTTTAATATTAAATTTATTCCAGAATTCAAAAACTGGGCATTGTTACCCCCCTGTAGATGCAATCAACATTTTGATGTTCACCTTAAATAACAAGTTGATCAAAAGGCTGGAGTAAAGAAGTTGTATTAGGAGGTAAAAAGAGAACACTGATATCTGAAGAAGGTTCAGTGAGTTTGAGGATGGCTTGGTGTCTTTTTGAGAACTGAAGGAATTTTAAAAGATACATTTTTTTTCTCTTGCAGTATTTTTTAAAAAATCTGCAAAAACAGCACCTAAAAGATCAGTAAATATCTGCCCTGGCAGCCAGCCTGTCTTGCTAGATCTATTGTGGAAACCAAGGCTAGTCCTTACAATTCCTTTTAAGGCTTATGGATTGGCAGTGATAAATCACAATAGGCTTTAGCTTTAAATCTCCACTGGCATTTGCACCCAGCATCACAGCCAGTTGACCCTTTGTATCCCTAAACCCTAGAGCTTGTGCTTCAAGGTACAGGGTTTTGAGGCCATTTGCTTCTAACAGAGACTGGTTTCATAAAAAATTGAAAATCTGATCCAGGGTAGTCTTCTTCATTAATCACATTTCTTAACACTGGGGGAAATGTCTTTGCAGCTTCTTCATCTGCACTTACAGCTTCACCAGATAGCTTAACATTGTGGAAAGCACAGTGGTTCTTAAAGCCATTAAACCAGTCACTATTTATACTAAATGAAGGCACTTCTGCAGGATTTTCAGCTTTTCTGTTAAGGTTTTCATATATTGCTGAGGTTTTCTCTTTAATTTTGAAAAAAATTGCACCTGACTGCTTCTTTGTTTGGTACTGAATCCACACACTTAACAAATGCTTCGTTTCTTCCATTTCCTTATGCCTTGTTCTAACAGATTATGTAGCACTGGTAGTTGTTCCAGCCAGATAACTTTCTTGTATTTTCCCAGCATTGTTTCTAATTGTATGTAATGTTGACTCCTTTAGACCCCATTGTACAACCATTGCACAGGTTCTTTCATTTTTTTTCAAAGTGTTTTCTAATTTTCTTCAATTGTTAAAGCTTTTATTTTACTCACTACCAGAAATGTTATCACCATACGCTTCTGTGGCACTTGCAAACCCCTTTGCTAGCTCATTTTCTGGAATACAAAAAAGTTGAGCAAAAAATGCACAAAGATGGGAGGGAAACATGCAAATAAGCACTTCTAAGACAGACTATGGCCAAGAAAGCCAGAGAAAGAACTTGGGGGCAAGTGGGTACTATGTACAGTATTGTATGTCATCCTAATTTGCTGCATTCCGCTATAATCAGACACTTTAATTCAGCTGCTCCTACTTGGTGCTCCCCCCCAACATCAACTTGCTGGGAAAACTGATGCATGAACTAGCACAATTTCAGCATTTTAATGGCTCATTTCCAGCATATTGAACTCATATTTAAAATTTTGCATTCCAAAATTATAACAGCTCAAACCGTATATGTTCAAAGAACTTCAGATAAAGGTATGGTTAGTATCACTACAGGGTGTCAGACAATAGCCATTTTTTAAAGTTATTGTGATAGATGGCAAATATACTCTCTTAAAAATAACTAGTTGTTTTTTTTCTTTTGTAGCTGGGCGTGGTAGTGTGCGCCTGTAGTTCCAGCTACTTGGAAGGCTGAGGCGGAAAGATTGCTAGAGCCCAGCAGGTGGAGGCTGCGGTGGCCGGGAGCAGCCACTGCACTCCAGTCTGGGCGACAGTGACTGACTGACTGACTGACTGAATAACCAACGAAATAACGAAATAACTAGTATTATGGTAAATACTAAATAACTAGTATTATGGTAAAGAACATAAAATTCTTCTGAAAAGGATACTGGACTCAAAACACTTCACACACCAACAACTCTAGGTACTGAAAAGAACCAAGAAAAACATTCAGTTCATCTTTTCATTGTGCAGGTGAAGACATTAAAACTCCAGAAGAGAGGCTTTGATATACCAAGGTTGCACAGCTAATTAGTGACAGAGCCTATCACAGAATCCAGGAATCCAGCCAGATCTTATGATTCACTGTTTCCTGATAATTTCACTAAATTAGGCTACTTCTCTATTAGTATTTCCTATAAGTTATTCCTTAGACTCTTACACAGGTTTATTTTCATATATGTTAAAAGTAGTAGACATCATAAAAGAGATAGTTGCACAAGACAGTAGCACTTTTTAAGACAATTTTACCTACTACTATGTATTTCTTTAATCTCATAATCACTAAATAAAACATTTTCAATTGTGAGGAATAGATCAAGGTTTTCCATTTACTTATTTGGCTTAGCTAGCACTTACATAAAGACTGTTATCTCATAAGCAAGAATGTATTCATCTATAGCAATGATCAAATAAGAAATAATGCCCTAAACCAGAGTTTGCAGCCACTAGTGTGAAATTACTCCCACTTAAACCATTCTGGCCCATGTACCCAAATTCTCAAGAGGGCCCTTCCAATTTCTCACCTGCTGTCTAGGTTCATCAAGCTCTCTCTCCAAATCTTCCAACACAGTCACCACCTCCTCTCCATTCTCAGGACTATGCTCCCGCACCCAGGCCTGGAGCTCCTCAGGCAGGATGGTCAAAAACTGCTCCAGCACCAACAATTCCAGGATCTGCTCCTTGGTATGTATCTCTGGGCTCAGCCACTGACCGCAAAGTTCTCGCAGTTGACTCAGAGCCTCCCGGGGCCCAGGTGTCTCCTGATAGCAAAACTGCCTGAAGCGCTGACGAGAAAACTCCCTCATATGAGTCAAATTCCTAGATAGGTAGGACTCCTGATCCCAAATATGGTCTTCTTCTTTAATTTTTACTTTGATAATCTCCTGTTGTTCTTCTGAAGCCTGGCCAGTCAAAGCTGGGAGGATTCTAGAGGATGCCTCCATCCTGAGCTCAGCTCAGGGAAAGGCTCTCTCTAATTGGAGTCTAGCAGACAGGTGATTTTACTTGAGCTTTTTATTTTTCCCTTGATCGGGTAAAGTTTTCGACACAAGAAAACACTCAACACAGGGCATAACAGACGAAGTACAAAGGACGTGTTTACACAACACAGGGCAGTCACTGGAGCAATTCCATTGAAAGTGAAGCTATCCTCTGACAAGACCGCAAAACGGCACAGAACTGCCCACTAAAGCTGGAGGTCACAAAACGAGCGGCAGGATACTTGTGAGACAGAAAACTGAAGTCATCAAGGATATCCCGGCTCTAAATAAAGCCTGGGTATATGAACCCACGCAGGGACACTAAGGAGTGTCACCCAGAAGACTGGAGTTCCCAGTACCCTGAGGGGCGGAGCAGGCAGAGAGGGAGAGAGGCTCACGAGCGGCCTGAAGAGGACGACTGATTGTCGCTGTTCACATGCACCATTCCCTGGACTATAGCTCCTGACTCTGAGGAACACTGACCCTCCCCCGCCCTCAAGTACCGATGAGCGGGTCTAAAGACACTGCAGGTCGGAAGTGCCCGCTCCACCGACACATCCGCCGGTGGGTCGGCGAGTTCCGGCCGGGCCCGGTGAGCCGCGCTCACTTCCGGTCCTCTCTAGGATTCCAGGTGGTTCAGTCTTCTCTGTGGTTGTGGTAGTACTGACTGTACCGGCAAGTTTGGAGAGTCAAGAGAATTAACTCCGGAGTTACCCGGCTATCTGGCATCCGGGTGAAAGAGTTTGGCGGCGTGAGTAGTGCTGGTGCCGAGGCCGTGTTCTGTGTTTTCCCGTCATCATGATAAACCGTCACTGGACTCAGACCCCACGGTACTCTCCGCGGCAACCTGGAACAAACCAAAGAGCATCCCTAAGGCGACACCAAGTCAGTGAATCGTGGGCTCCTCCCCCGCCTTTTCATGTTCATTTCGCGCCACTCTCCTTTGCCCGTCCCCATAAGTCAGACTTGAAAAAGAACCGTAAGAGAGCTAGTTCTTACTTTCTTTCCATTTCACGAGGGGAGAAACAAGACCCATAGAGAATGAGCTTCCCATGAGTAGCAGCAGCCATTTCTGCTTCTGGCTCTGTGAGCCGTGACTAAACATTTGTAGAAACTGGTCCCAGAAAACTAACAATATCTAGATAGGTGTTCAGAGCCTATCGAATGCACTAGAGTGGAGTAACTGGAAAATTCGCATCAAGCAGTCACCGGATCCAGCCAGAGGTCCAGCAGCACAGGGATCCTCGCCTAAGCCAGCCTTCCATTCCTCTGACCCCTCCTCCCCGCAGCTGGCCCCATGGCCTTATGAAGGGCGCTCAGGAGCTAACAGGTGCACGAGGAGTATTTGCTGAATTGCGGAATGGCTCCCTTTCCCCATTGTCTCTTTCCTTCTGCTTCGGCCCCCATACTGATGACTCACATTTTGGTATAGCTGATTCGAGAGGCTTTGAACAATCAGAACATTTCGTTCGGAAATCTCTAAATAAAAATTCTTACCCTTGGGGGGTCCATGAATGGTTTTGAGTAAATCGCTAAACCCAACGAAATTGTCTATAAAATTTTTTGTTCCCAAGTCATCAGTGTGGAGGAACAGGAGGCCCGATTAGGCCAGCATCAATTGGGTAAATTGAATAAACTATTTTGAGGAAGAAAATCTTCTCAGAATGAGATTACAAGAATTGTAAAAGCTGAATAGCTAGCCGCAAAATATTTGCTGTTTGTTCTGCAGCCAACAAAGAAAGCAGTTAACACCAGGTTCCTGGTTCCGGGACAAACAAAAAGGCAGTCAACTACTACTGTTTAAAAGACAAAAGCCCTACAATCATCGAGCAGCCGCTTTGAAAGCTTCTGGCAAAGCATGTGGTCAATTTAAAATACTTCTCCATGCCCTCCTGGCTGTTCCACCGCCCAAACAATCCTGATACAATAATATATTATGCATCTGTTTAGCCCTCGCCTCTTTGCAGACAGCAGGTACTCTCACTGCTGTCCTGCCGGTTGTGCCCTTCACAGCATATCTTCTCTTTAATAAATCTATCTTTCTTAATTAATAACTGTGTTGGTGAATACTTTCACCCCCGTGACGCCGGCAATACCCAGCCTGCCATACACAGCAACCAGATCCTCAAGGATCAATTCCAAGCCTCTATTAACGTGCTGCACTTAGTCTTTTGTTTCTCCCCTAACTAGTTGTTAATCTTTTGGAGTCAGGGATTCTACCATCTACCTTTTTCATATTCTGCAATGCTATTATCACAACCATGCTGAACACAGTAGATAGTTAACATGGAGTAAACATGCCTTCTAAGTTCTCTACTGAAGGGCATTAATTTGTTATAGATTTGCATTTTTAATTACTAAAATGACACAAAAATGATCAAATATTTCAAAAGTGAACATGCAAAAAGTGGAAAATTTCTTCACACCCAATTCCATTTCTCAGAAAAATTCATACCATGTTATATATCCCTCTAATCTATAAAAAACATACAAATCAACTCACAAATTATAACTTACTATAATTTACAAAAAATTAAATCATGCTAGACATTACAACTCAACCAGTTGTTTGATTTTGTTTGGTTTAAAGTAAATCCTTCCCAGAAACTGCCAAGTCAACATGTGGGTGCGTCTATCCCATTCTTTTTAGTAACTAAATATCATTTCAATTAGACTGGCATATTTCCAAATTTCTGGTATTGCAAGGTACTGCAACGAACATTCTTAGACGTATATTTTTTCTGTGTGTGTGTATTTGCATTTCTTTAGGATGGCCTTTTGGAAGAAAAACTGCTGAGATAGAGAGTATTTGGATAGGTAGTGCCCAAAGATCTGCACCCCAGAGAGATGTTTATCATGATTCTCACTGTGTAAAGACCCCTCACCTGCACGGTGCTTTGAAAGGTCTTGGGAAGGGGTCGCTTTGTATTAAACATATTTTGGTGAAATTTGCAAAAGTATGCTACTACAGTGGAAATTAAGACTGCTGCTTCTCTTTACTCCAGCTTATCCTCAGATATGTCTATCATATAGGCCTTAGAGTGTCCATATCTAATTTTATGTTGAGTGTCTACTCATTTTCTTAAAAAGGACCTTCTAAATTGTATAAGCTTCAGACCTCACAAAACCTGGATCTGCCCCCGCTGTCTTCCTTAAGCTAGGCTTACAACAGAAGTGCAAGAGAGAGTGCACCGATCTCCCCAAATTTTAACCTGCCCATTACTCTTCCAGCAACAAAACTTCAGCTTTCATATCAGGGAGCTCTCACTGGAGCCTGACCTAGCTCTTCCGGGTTGAAGCTACTAGGAAGTTTATTATTAAGGATATATTTAACCACAACTGTAGATATATATTTCTCTTCCGTGGTTGGTCCCATGGTGTAATGGTTAGCACTCTGGACTTTGAATCCAGCAATCCGAGTTCGAATCTCGGTGGGACCTCTCAAAAGGGAACCTTTTACAGTCCCTCCGCTTCCTATTGAATTCCCGCCTAGAACCACCTCTTTCGCCCAGCAAGTAATTCAGCTTTCAAAACCCAAGTTCTCGGGCTTAGAGACAAAGAAATAAACGCTGGTCCTACCGACCTCACGAAAAGCTCCCAATTCCCAATGCAGATACCCAATTCCTAATAGAGACAAACACCTCCAGATCTCCCAGGCTCGAAGCCCGCCCGCCTCCTCCCCGCTGGAGCCTGAGTCTAAATCCGACTAAATCCGCGCAGAGTCGCCGAGCCTCGGCCCCGGGCATGGTTGCTTTGCTGTGGACCTCACGTCCCGGGCCACTTTTTGCCTCTTCCCAGCCCCATCTCGCCGAGACACTTCCGCCCTCTCTGCCCTCTCCTGCGCCTTCTCATTCCCATTTTCCCCACTTACCCCCACGGCAACGCGGGTCTGGAAGCCCCCAGAGCCGGCAGGCGCGGAGCGCACGCGTCCCCGGCCTCCGAGGCGCCGCGCCTTCCGGCAGTGGAAAAACTCACCTCGGGGCGGGACCGAGCCTCGCCGCGCCGGGAGCTGGCAGCCCGGATTCAGGACCACACACGGTGAAGGGGCCTGGGAGGAAGCCTACAACCCGGGTGGGCGAGGGGCGGGGGGGGGGGGGGCGCACGCCCTCTGCCTTCGGCCATTCGCCCACCACCTGACCTCGTCCTCTCCAGAAACTGCCCAATAGCCGCATCCGAAGCACCCGGGGAAAAGGTCCTCGGAGCAGAGACTCAAGGACAGGAAATGCCTCCCTGCGACTCCCCAACTCTCGGTCTGTAGACCAGGAACGCACTGGAGATAGAGTTCATCAAACCGGGAAGGGCTGGGAAGTTCCGGATCGACACTTACTTAGCGGTTAGAAGGAGGGGAGAAAATAGGCGAGGGGGAGAAAAGATTCCCCCCAGAAGATAGGAACTAAATTAGGAAGAAACAAGAATCCATGTTTTCTGTATATCGATCTCATCTATGTTGTAAGAGACAACCTTTAAATTCAGTGATTTGTTTTCAGATTTATTCTTTTTTGACATTTTGTTTTTCTCAGATGTAGCAAAAAAGCAACTCGAATCCTACTCTCACCGAGTCCAATAACCCATTCAACCATACATACTACGTTAGCTCATATTATAAGTTACCAGTGGTTACACAGAGAATCTGTAACAAAGTTTACAAAGCTTATTGAAACATTCTTTTGGCTCCCACTATGTGCTGTTGATTGTACTTCCACATGGTCTGTGATTGTGCTAATTGTGAGGGAAATAAGATCTTGTGGTGTGAGCTTAGTATGTGTGGTTCCACCTCCTTTCAGCTTTGTTGATACTAGTGTGATGAGAACTCATCTAAAGTATTCTCTCTTTTCTGAATGGCCTGACAGCCTCTCCTTCCTGTGTAGGACACTTGTAACCCCAGTCATTCTTCCATCCACCTCCATATCCAGCCTGTGGTTCTCTCAGGGATCTCCAGCATTGACATCCTACCCCAAACAAAGTAGACTTCTCAAATAGACCCCCAGAGTCCCAACTACCCTCCTAGAACTTCATGAAATGACAATAACAGAAGAATTTTGTTCTCAAAAACAGTTCTCAAAAACTGAAAGACAATTTAATGGCAGCATCACTGATCACATCCATCGTCAAGGATCCACTTATCCTGGCTCAGATTTAGGTCCCCAGACTTTATTCCAAGCCTCCAAATTAAGGTAATGGACAAGACCTGACTGGATATAGTGCCTACACCCAAGTGACCCAGGACTAGTGAGAAGGCCAGGGAGCAGCTGCTGTGGAGAGGCTGAACTAGCCACAGCCACGGGGAGATGCCAGGTCATAGAGACTCTTCCCCTTGTGCCTTGCATGTGCTGTGGGTCTCCTATTCTGTTAGGAAGTTGAGGAAATCCTGGTGGGTGTTTAAAAGGTCATCATCCTTGACCAAACTTTAATTAGTCTCCTCTGAGCTCTCTTCTCAACTAGGTCCCATCCTTGGCGTGTCCAGCCCAGTTTTGGCAAATAATCCAATTGAGTCTGGTTTTAGCAAGAATTCCACTAAGTCAATTTAGTGAGAATTCCCCACCCTCATATCCAATCAAATTTCGATATCTAATCAAGTTTCTCTTATTAATTTTCTATTCAATAA